ATACGGCAAAAATCGACATTGAAATATGCTCCTCTGTTGGTTATTGATTTTCACTCGCGTGCGCGCTCGCAACGCGTTTTGGCGAGAGGAACCAGAACCGTGCTGGATCCGGATCTATGTGAGCAAAACTATAAGCGGATCTCTAACGAATTTACTCACGTGATCGCCCTCAAAACCTGGCGGACATAGGCACTGGCCATCTCCTGGCTCACAAGAGGCACCATTTTGGCAGGAACATGACTGACTACAGTACCATCCATAGAAACCAACTGGACAAACAAATTGACACCTAGTCCCGTAGCGACCAGGCGGGCAATCGCAACATCCTTGGACTGGGTCACATCTGAAGGTATTTGAAATATGATAAAAGGTGTGATAAAAGGGTGGAAGAGTAAAACAACTAACCTGGCGCTTCCATGACATTCGCAGTCCAACGTGCAGTTCAAGCCATACTTTCCAGATGGGCAGCTTTGTTCACAGGTAGTTCCCATATAGCCGAGATTACACCTAGAGATACGAGTTTCGAATAGGAATTTGAAAAATGAGCAGGACCACAACAATGATTTTTTTACATTTCTCATTTCAATATAGGCGATATATGAAACAATAGATCTAGTAAAAGAATCCGAAATAAATCTCACTTGCACTCTCCAGTTGCTGGATCGCAATGGGCACCGTTGGCACACCGACACTTATCCTTACATCCGGGGCCCCAACGACCTTCGGGGCAAACTGAAATTTTTGATTCACGTAACCTTAAGGTTCCGTAAATTCGATCAGCAAAAGTTTACCTTGATTACAAGTGAGCCCTGTAAATCCGGGGGCGCACTTGCACTGCCCAGACAAGCGGTCGCAGGTGCCACCATTTTCGCAGGAGCAAATTTTTTCGCAGCTGGAAAAGAAATCTTTGATTGCTTTAGAACTGAAATGACGATGGTAACTGGGTAAACAAAATTCGTGAGCCATTTCAGGTGGCAACCATTGTCATCTCGAAGATATTTTTATCCAAAACCCATCTCAAAACTCAAAAGTCCAGCACTTAGACTTTATAGAAAATTCCCACAGAGTATTTTTTGACAGATGTTTGTTATACTTATTCTGTGCAGTAGCCCTTTTCATGACGTTACGGTAGGTGCACATAAGACACTTTACTGCATATGCCAAAAACTTGTTCTACGAGTTCTAGGTGGCGTGCTGATAAAGAAGGTACAGACTTGGTAACTTTTTCGATCTATCATGCCTACCGTACTCCTCCAACCTACGACGTTGACGATGCTATTTCATAAAGGAAACAATCTTTTGGATCAGTACGACAAATGGTGTGTGGACCACAAATGAAAGTGAGAACATACTAGAGCATTTATAACCTTAGAAATGACCAACTTTTCTCCGTATCGACCCTGTGGACATGGTGTGTCGCATTTTGTACCAATAAAACCCGGTGGACAAATGCAAGCTCCAGTCTCCTTATCGCATACTGCTCCATTTGCGCACTCGCACAGCTCTGAACAGTCGGTACCAAAACGTCCTTGGACACAACCTACAAAAAATTCCGGTTAAATTTGCTCTGAGCTTTCGAGATGTGGGAAACTAACCACTTTTGCAATCTTCACCGAAGTAACCAAGTTTACAGTAACATTTCCCACTGATTGGATCACATTCGGAATTTTCATTGCATTCACATTTCTTCTTGCAACCTTCGCCATATGTTCCCTCCGGGCAAAGCTAAAAAAATTTTTTCAATCA